CACTGCCGCCTCACAGAGCAGAGCGCCTGGGCTCTGATCGGCATGCTTGCAGATCTCAACCATTGCCTTGACGGATCGTCTCCTTGATTACAACGAGGTCAACCCACTTCCATAAATCGAAATGACATTGCGAACATACCAGATGCCACACCATCTTGATCTTCATATCTTTATATTTGGTAATTAGTATACATAACTGGCAGCTGGATCATGCTTTGGGCAGCAACGTCTGCAGGCATGCCGTTTATCCTTGTCTACCGTTAAAACGACGTCCTGCCGAAAATGTATAGACGACGGAGAGTTACGTCGCTGGATTCTCCGTGAACCAGGAGACCTCCGCTACTGTGTCATACCACCAGCATGACGGGGTTGGTTGGATCTTCGCGTGCCAAACGATTGCACCCAACCAGCACACTCACCTGATATGAAGGATTCCTTAATGAAACATTGTGGGGAAGTTGGTTGGACGGAATTCTTCTGTACTGTGACAGACATCACCAGAACAGGAATACATACTTTTCTTAGACTAAGCCAAGAAAAAAAGTGGTCGGCTGCAGTCCTAGTCGCTTTTTTATACACAGAACTTTGCGATCTTTACCTTTCCTCTTGGTTTTGTATATTTGGGTCTATTTCGTAAAGTATGGCTTCTTGTTCTGATAATGTCTATCACAGTACAGACGAAAACTTAGCACAATTTAATCGGGCTCGCCGAGGACTTCTTCGCACAATTTAACAGTCTTTCTTACGCGACAATCCTCCTTCGGTTTCCGGTTTCCGGTGAGACCACATCGCGAACTCCCTCTTACCAACTTTTCATTCGAAATGAAGAGTCATAATACAACACTCTATTTGCTCTGCGGTAGCTAAAGAACTTTGCGGTGTCTGATTTTGACGCCTATTCTGTATAGCAAAACTACGCTGCTCACCGAATTGTTCGTCTTTTTCCACTATTCATCTATTCTGAGCCCTCTCAATCGTTTAAAAGGACACACAGATTGTCCTTCATTCATCTTTCATGCATTCTTATTCATTCTACCAGCCCAAGTGTTTATTAGAAATCCACTTGTTCGTCCAAAAGTCCGGGAAACAACAACATTACCTTCATCAGTGCATTCTCTTGTCACGCCATAGGCCGCGTAAATTTCTGGCAGTCCGTAGTCGGTAACTTTGAGCACCCACCTTCCGTCGACGACGCAATTCGTCGACTTAAGGTAGCCATGCACCTTGATTGGACTTCCATGCAGATGGCGCATTCCCTTAAAGGATGAGCAAAATTTAAAAAAATGAAAAAAAACATAGAAAGGAAGAGAGAGGCATGCTAAATTGGCACAATAATTCATACATTAGTTGTGCTCACCCGATTTCGTTTAAGGCTATGAAGGACTGGTAGGTGAATTTTCATACAATCATATGAATAGAGCTGACGTTCCCAATGAATTTCACATGGCCTTGCTTTCCCAAAAGTGGAGTAGAGTGTACAACAGTTGCTACCTCGCAGGTTCGACTCCCGCTGAGGGTGTTGATAAGACGCATGCAAAGTTGAAACTGCAATCCACTCTGGATGAGAATGGAAACATCAGCTCTACTCATAGGATTGTGGGAAAATGCAACTATCACACCCTCACCACCTTAAACGAAATAGGGTGCCTAATTTACTTGTAGTCCACAAAACCTACTTTCTCACTAAAACAATAGTTCATTATATAATTAGGAAATGGAAATTGACTTTTGCCGGCCTGGACATTGGTTCCGACCCTCCGAAGCTTGATCCTCCCCCCTGCCCCTCCACCCCAGTCAAGTTCGAGCTCAACTCTCACCTTCTGAAGTGCCGAGCAGACATAATGCCTACTCGAACTCGAGTATGGCTACATCATATTTGCACGAAGTCTCTCACATGACAGATGAAAGCTGAGCCCGGATTCATCGTGGCCGCGAGACGGAGGGCATAGGACTTATTCGCACAATTCTGCAGTTGCAAAATGTGTTAAAATTGCATGTCATCAATTTTGTGACTATTATTTGTCTTCTCGTCTTCACACGATAGGCGAGTTGTTTCACTCAATGGAACCTGAGATTTTGGCAATCGGGCGCTATTGCCAGTTGTTCACAATCATGGCCACATTCGGTGATATCAAAGAGACTGCCTAAAGGTACCATCCTGCTTGCGCTGCATTGTGCATGCCGACGACCCCGTTTAGAAGAGAAATTCTAACAAAGCGTCAGCATAATTTGTGAATCATGAAAATATTGTTTGATATCGACATAAAGAAAGATTGTTTTAGGTAAACAATGCTAAATTTTACATCAAAT